TTCGACCATCGAAATAATTATGCAGAATACTAAACGTTCGTGAAAATGTTGAAAAAGTTTGAATATTCTAACAAGTTTACATGTTTCCATAATTATTATAATGCTGCGAAATAAAATTATTCGCGGATCTATTATCTAGCTAAATTTTTAGATACTTGGACAAAATCGTAATATTCGTGTATTATTCGAGCTGCACTTATTGCATTCAAAGCGCCACTTGTTTGTCCCCGCATTAATACGATTTGTTCCCGGTGTACTTCATTCTCTCCCCCGAGAGACAGATTAACTCGCTCGAAGGGAGACAAGAAGGACATTCCGATAGCACGTACAGTCGTGTCGCGCGCGCTTCATCGTTTCCGCTCTCTCCCTCGTTCTCCACTTACGTCGTTAAAGTGCGCATCCGACTGCATCGCGGGAACGAGACCATGCCAGCGAGACCGAGGGAGATAACAGAGGGAGAGAGGGAGAGAAAGCGCATTAACATACCTGCAATATGCATGCGAGGTGGTGCACTCGTCCGATTCGACGTTGCTTGCGCGTGCGGGGGCTTACACAGGAATATTCACGTTAATTCAAAGCGATGGTATGCGCCCGCCACGGATTAATATATTCCGGATTATCCGTCTGTGTTTGCGTTAATGCTCGCGCCGTTGGGTTAGTTAAATATGTAAATATAAGCGGCGTGCGCGCGGCTACGCCGGACGTTACCCCTGGTTACGACGTCGACGTGCGGCAGAATGACGAATAAGGGTGATAGTAACCCATGCTTGTGAAAAATACACGACATGGCGAAAGATCGGATATCGATGTGAATTATTGCATTAAAAGTCTCGCGTATTTCTCTCGAAAATATCACCTGCGTGAATTGAAAAATGTTTTGGAATTTTTTTTCTTTCCTTCTTTTTCTTTTTTGTAAACTTCATAAAACGCCGCGCCGAAAATTGAAAACACGCGTAATTTTTTAACGAGATACCGATGCAGCGTGTTCTTGTACTTTCGAATAATGTTAAAACAAAATTCGGAAAAAGAAACACGTAGTATGTCAATATAATTTTTATACGGAGCACAGTGGAAACGGTAACGTACGTGAAACCTATCGTATACTCGCATTACAGTTTCGAATTGAATTTTTGTTCGGACACGTATTAATCATCGTAGCGATACGTATATCTTCGAAGAACGAGAGTATTAAGCCTTCTGCAAGTAATAAAGGAAGGATTACGTGGTAATAGAAAATGTCGGTTGCGCAAGGATCTTTCGGGAGAAAACGGCAACAAAGGAAAAATTGCAATTCTCTCGGCGCTATTATTAACATTAACCCGGCACTCGGTGTTGCTTGTATCAAAGTATTCTCATTATGAATACATTTCGCAGTTAACGTGCAATACGCCGCACGCTCGGAGCAATTCGCATGATTAACTCGGGTTACGGTTAAATTCCGAGGAAGATAGCCATGTGTAGCGTTACGCCGTATAACAAAATTTCCCGCAACATTCGCTATTCTTCTATATCGCGTGGAAAAATAACAAAGAAATTTATTTAAGCGAAGCTGGCGCTAAACGACGTTTGCTACAGTCGGGAGTAAGAGCCATTCACGCGCGTGGTACAAAAAAGCGGCGGTACGGGGAGAGGAAGCTGCGCGACGTTGATCGCTGCCAGCGCGAGAAAGGGGCGAAAGGGGCGAAAGGGGCGAAAGGGAAGAATGAAGGATGCTTTAGATGGGGGTGAGTTGGAAAGCCGGGTGGCGCAACCGGGTTTATTCGCAGCGCGCGCGAACGAACCCCAGACGAAGTCCAGATATTAATTTTCTCGATGTATATGGATGAGTACTGACTAGGCCACGTTGCGGAGGATACCGGGAGGAAGACGGACGAAGGTGGAAGGTTGGTAAGAGGAAGGAAGCGTAGCAGCGGTGATGGTGGACGTACCTGCGTAACGACGGGTGGGCAAGGGAGGGAACGGGGGGGGGAGGGAGGGGGGGGGG